CGGGGCCCTTGGCGGCCCCCCTGCCCCACCCCCTAGCATAGATGCTCGCTTCGCTCGCATCTCGACCTTATGAAATGGACCCCCACTTTCAAAAATGCTCTGCTGCCGTTGGTCAACTGCCGATTAAGATAACAGGATGACAGGGTTTCTTGCAAATTCAGATGAAAACATGTTAAGTGCAATTTTTGAAGAGGAAAGTTGGAAAGGTATGTCTGGGAGCTCTTAGCTGTCCAGGAGAAATATCCTTATTTTGAAATTGACATAAAAAGAAATGTGAATCCACTCCGCAGCCAATACAGTTTCAGGTTTGATTGGATTATTGGCTTGCTAAAGAAACATGTGATATTGTTCTTAAAACAATTAATAAAATTATATATTCAAGATGTTTACATGCGAGAGTGTTGAGGTCAGTTTATATTTGTTGACTCAAGAAAAAAAATGCGATTCTGTATATGGCCACACAGTATTACAATTTTAATAATCGATATTGGTACCAGTTCGAAATCCAAGATGATGTACAGGCCGGTAACAATACAATAAGAACGAGATTCGAATGATGCATCAAAACTGAGCACAATGTTAATCTTAATGGACACTGACTTTTGGCCGACAGATTGATGGACGGTCTAATTTTCTTTCCTCCATGTACAGACAGACCGACCGACAATTATGAGATGCAAATAGTTGATGAATCGGACAGAAAATTAAGTTGGTGACGTATTTTACTGTACTGTATGATTAATTTTGTCCGGAATCGAGGAGCGCTTATTCAAACGGGACACTTTAGAAAATGTTCACCTTAGGAGGAGCTCTTAATCGAGAGGAGCCCGCGCTTATTCTCGCGAGTACGGTACTCAGCAATGGAAATACTGTATTGAATTGTATTTCTAGACTCTTGACTCACAAAAAACTTCATCACAACCAATGTTTACGGAGTTTTGGTTAATGCGTTTTTCAGTTCCTCGACTTTTGTGGATTTACTATCAGTTACATATTTCAAGTATATTTTAACATTCACGTTCAACCTGTTACACGAAATGGCTATTTTAATGTTTCAATAAAGAATTTAATATGGCACCATCTTATCACTTTTTTTCATAATAAAATATTTCGCAGTAAAAGTTTGTAAATCCACAAAAAAAAAATTGAATTTTGTCTCAATGAAAGTTGATAACTTTTATTTTAAATTAAATTCGGTGTTTTAATGGGATTATCTTATGCCTTTTTTTGGGCGTTTTTTTTTTTTTTTGGTCACGTCTACGTCTAGTCTACAAACAAAAAGTTTTCTTGGAAGGTAGAGGGCGTTATTCTCTCTCACCGCATCTGTCTTTTTCTCTGGGTACATTGTGTGGATGGAAGAAGAACACGTTCGGTCATTTCGGTCATCAAATTCTTCAGGGTTTGGGGTCCCATACAGTTGATGTGTTCTAGAAGCGTATGAGCATATGATTAGTATATTGAAATTAAGTATAAGGTATGTATTCATGTCGATTTTTCCTGTTTTGCGAAACTGGAAGAAAAATTCATGCTAGGCTACCACCAACAACAAACTCTCTGGCGACGGGGGATTCTTTGCTTTGTATGCGTCCTTTTTCCCGCGCCTCTTTGTAAGCTCTATCATGGAAGGCCCAGCCTAGGCTTAGAAGGTGTAACCAGCTTACTTTCGGTAGCAGTTATTAATATTAATAATAATAGTTATACCTGCAGATACCTTATGCCATTAACTAACAATCAGCAGACGGCATCACTTGGGGAAGTACTTTACTTTTGACAGAGCGTCTGGCGTGCTGAATTGAATTCATCGCTCCCAAACCGAGAGTTGAATAATGATGCATGTATGTGCTGGGGGGACTTTATTTTAGCATGAATGGAGTTGAAATGCTTGGAGGTTTGAAAATGTCTGCATTCCAATCCATAGCTCCTTTGTTCAATTCCTGTCACAGACAAGATTTTTTTCTCGCAATTAAAAACTCCAGTCCCTAATCTAAGCCTCAACTAAGTCTATATAGAGCATCTTGTGTTTATATGCAATAATATAAAATTTCATTCATGTTAAGCTAAAAATTAGGGTATTCAATATTATTGTCTGACTACACTTGAAGCTAAATTGTAAATGAATTAGGGTAATATGTTTGTCATTTGAAAGGACTGCCACTTAGAAAATAGACACTGTAAGTCCATTGTTTGGTATATCATCATTGGCTTTGTGCCAAAAGTTGTATAAAAACATTAAAAAGTATGTCATAATAATATGCACAGAACAGAGGTGTGACACCTTGGCCAACATGCTGCAAGCTTGTTGAACTTGTTCGCAGGTGACAGCATGTGCCTCTTGATGGTGTGTCTTGCCAAAAATGTGCTACATTAAATAATATATTCATGGAGTAGTTTACCCCATGCTATACAGAGGATGTTTTTGCCTTTGACCTGTAGAATTGATCAAGGTTATTACCCCTCTTACAATTTAAACCATGTTTTATTCAGGTGATACAGAATACATTAAAGAAATTATTATATAACAATCTAATATTAAAAATGTATACTGCATCTTTTGAATAATAAACTTAGAAAAATGATAAGTCAATATTTAAATTGTTTTCCTTGTTCATTTTAATTGATTATTTATAGCCATGATCCGGAGGGAAAAAAAAAGTTTGATATGTTGTACAACTGATTTTTTTTTAAAGACACAAAAAGCATATTTGTATATCTGCCAACCATACAACTTCACTCAAGTACAGTGGAAAATTACATAAAAGGTGTACTCAGTTGCATCATTCTCCATCTGCCTTTCCCTACCCTATGTTTATACTGTACTACAAGAAATACCACTGATTGCAGTCATCGTGCTACATAGGCCTTCCACATTAATAATTAACCTAAAACCTGTGTAACACTGTTTATTTACATGATTTCCCAGGCATAAGCGGAGATGACAACACCCGAGAATAAACCTCCAAGTACAGAGCCAGCAAGTAAGCCAACTCCTGTAACAAAGCCACAGACCACCAGTGTATCACTATCGAGCCTTCCAAAAGTAAGTCACGCTTTCTTACAGATGGTTGTTGCCGGTGTAAACAAATTCCTGACAGCATCAAAGCTGCAATGAGATTGTAGAAATGTCTGAAGTACAAATCAGTAGTACAAATACCAATACTACAAACCTGTAAAACTTTTTTAATAAAAAATTCAGGCACCAGAGGAAAAACAAATTTTGATATGTTTTGTACAACTGAAAGCATACAACTGAAAGCATATTAGACGAAAAACTTGGGAACAGTTAATTAGATACAGATTTTTGAATACTTAAAAATGGAGGGGGGGGGAGGCGGGAAAGTGAAAAAAAAAAGGTGGTTACGCCCTTTTTTCCCCAGTTTTTTTTAAATATTCAAAAATCTGTATCTCATTAATCGTCTTCTTTTTAATCAAATATGCTTTTTGTGTCCTGGAAAAATCAGTTTTACAACATATCAACAAAATTTCCTCGAGCCTGGCTTCAAATTACAAATGATTAAACACTATTAAATTTGTGTAATCTTTGTAATACAGGCATTTATATTATTTTGTAAACTAAACAATTCGAGATAATTTTCCTTTCAGAAACCAAATTACAGTTTGAAATTTACTCTAGCTGGTCATACAAAAGCTGTTTCCTCTGTCAAGTTTAGTCCAAACGGAGAATGGCTAGCAAGTTCGTGTAAGTATATAAAAATACATGAATTGGTTGGTATTAAAAAAAAAGTGTACTGTGTACTGTATAGTCTAGGTCTCCTCCAATTAAAACCTCTTTTGGGACTGGGGTTTCCATGACTTAAGCAGCTTAGAATAATATAGATAAAAGACATAGTTAATTGGGGACTGCAGAAAAGTGCTGTTTGCTGGGAGGTCTTTTATATACAGTTCATGAAATATTCACAGTAATTCACTAAAATAATATGTCAATCATTTCACAGCTGCTGATAAACTCATAAAAATATGGGG